TGATGTATATATTATATAAATATATAAAATACATAAATATGTCTTTTAAAAATGGTATCTGTAGGCCGGGCGCGGTGGCTCAAGCCTGTAATCCCAGCACTTTGGGAGGCCGAGGCGGGTGGATCACGAGGTCAAGAGATCGAGACCATCCAGGTCAACATGGTGAAACCCCGTCTCTACTAAAAATACAAAAATTTAGCTGGGCTTGGTGACGCGTGCCTGTAATCCCAGCTACTCAGGAGGCTGAGGCAGGAGAATTGCCTGAACCCAGGAGGTGGAGGTTGCGGTGAGCCAAGATCGCGCCATTGCACTCCAGCCTGGGAAACAAGAGCGAAACTCCGTCTCAAAAAAAAATTAAATAAATAAATAAATAATAAAAAATAAAAATGGTATTTGTTTATTTATTATATATAAATATATATCTAATGACTATATATCTACATATCTACTTATATATTTATATATCTCCATGATAGAAGTTGGAAAATACTGAAAACTGTAGAGGAGTTTGGAGAAACAACCTATAATCTCATTATACAGAAATAATTTTCTTCCCTTTTGCTTCTCCACATTTTGGCTTAGATCAAATTTAGAAATGATTTTCTTAACGTTTTTGGTATTGTGTTTTTAGAGTATCAAGATGTTGCTGCATATTCTGATTTTCATGTATAGTTGTGACAGGAACACCCACAAAAATAATTGTTCTAGAAAAGAATTTGTTAACAAATATTTTCTTCCAGGAAGTGGTGTATTAGCGTTTTAAAAGAAACATTTCTGGACGTCAAAGTAGACATTGGGCTTATATCAACAGCTCAATCTTTTTTCAAATACGCTTTATTTTTAGAGCAGTGTAAAGTTAATAGTGAGGCATAGTGGAGAGTTCCTACGTTCCCACCTCCCCAAATGCACAGCCTCCTCCACTATCAGCCTTCCTCACTAGAGAGGTACATTTGTTACAATGGATGAACCAACATTGACTTATCGCTGTCACCCATCGTTTATAATTGACATTAGGGACCATTCTTGCTGTCGTATATTCAGTGAGTTTTGACAAGGGTGTAATGGCATGTGTCTACCATTATAGTAACACACAGAGTAGTTTCATTGCCCTAAACATCCTCTATGCTCTGCCCATTTATCCTTCCCCACTTTTCAACCCCCAGCAATCACTGAACGTTTTGATGTCTGTATAGTTTTGCCTTTTCCAGAATGTCATATAGTTGGATTCATATAGTAAGTGGTCATTTGAGATTGGTTTCTTTCACTTAGTAGTATGTATTTGAGTTTCCTCTATGTCTTTTAATGGCTTCATAGCTCACGTGCTTTTTTTCTGCAACAAAAGCCACATTCAAAGATTATTGCTTTATTCCACTGTGTCGATGTAGAGGTTTGTTTATACAGGCACTTACGAGTCTATAGTAACCAGTGTGGAGCCTGGGGAAGCCATAAATGGCCTGGTTGTGGCGAAGGCCTGGAGCCTATGTCGATAGGAGCCATGGAGGTTGGAGGCATTAGATCTTAGAGTCATAGGGGAAGGCCTGGAGCTTGGGTTGACAGGGTCTGTCCCATAGCCTGTGGCTATAGAAACCTGCCTGGTGTTGAGTTCACTGAATTGTGCCTGGCATTGGAGTTGATGTTGAAGTCAGGTGTTACATTTGCTCTCCTCTCTGCACATACATCGTATCTCTTTCCATGCTGCACTACCCAGGTTTAGGGGCGGGGTAATGCAGATAATATAAAACTCTCTTTTATACTCTATTTTATGCAGTTTTTCTTACTTTTCTACTCCACAAACGTGCTATAACCTCTCACCTGGATTCCTTGTCTCTTTTGAAGACACTTTGATGCACGGATGGCTGTTCAAATTGATGTTTCTGTGAAGGAATGAGTGCTGAAAAGTTCTGTTTTGTCATTTTGTCCATGGCATTCTTCTCTGTTAACTGAAAAAATATTTTTACTGAATAACATATTGTTAACAATTGTCAGACCCTTTGTTTAGCTCTGGAAGTTTCTCCTTTAGAGCAAGTTCCTTTCATAGTTCTCTATAGAAAGACTATAGTTGTAAAATGTTGGTAGAGATGATATTTTGTGTGTAGAATTAAGGACCGATTACACATAAATGTTTAGCGGACAGTAAACATTTGTGAGTAATCTGTTCTTACACACAAAAAGAAGGTCTATAGCTTTAGGAAAGGGAAAATTATCTAGGTTATTCAGACAATATAAAATGAGTTGAGAAAATTGAAGGGAATGTTTATACTTGAATGAGACCTCATGGAGAAAGACAAAATAAGGAAGCCATGGGAGAATATTTGCATTCTCGGAACCACAAAAGTGAGGAAAGCCAAGAGCACAGCTGGAGTTGCACCAGATCAAGTAGACATTCCATCAGAGCCTGAACTGAGAATGCACCATTCCTAGTCACCTTGATAACAGCCCCATTTTCTGTTAATAATACTCTATGAGAAAAATCTTGCAAAAATAGTCAGAAAAGGCAGAGTCACATGCGGTTCAGTGTGTTCCACCTTGGCAGACGGTCTTAGGAGGAGTTTTGGAACGATCGTGCTGCAGGCAATGGATGAGATAATGATGAGAAATTTTCCAGCTCTGTATAAAAAGGCAAGCGAAATATATGCTTGTGAATTTTTGGCTGCTTTTTTATGCTGTATTTTCAGATCAATTTTATCCCAGTTAATGTGAATATAAACTCTGATTGTTATGGCTATCTCTCGTAGGGTTTCTATTATTTTGTCAGAAATTGTATCAGGAACTTTATATCAATCACTAAATTACACATTTCCAAGCTGCATATGAATTAGGTATTACTATGATCATTTTACAGATGAAGAAGATGAGACTCAGAGCAATACATAAGTTGCCCAAGGTCAGAGAGCAAGTAAGTACCAGAAATAAAAGCCAGATAAATCTAATTCCCATATCCTTGCTCTTTCAATGATGTTTCAGAGTTGATTACAAAAGGAATTGTTCTGTGTGCTCAGGATAATTTACTACCTACTAAATTTAACCATAGGGCAGTCTTATAAACAGGGTAGAGTATGCAGTTAAGATAAAATTTGAGAGGAAAAAATTAAATTAAAATAGTACATAACCAATGATCAGAATATTCTCTCAGTATTTTAGAAATTTATGTAAGAATAAACTAGATACTGATAAAAAAGTCACATTCTTTATGCACAAATCTTATAAGTAGCTACTGTTAAAGAGAGGATATTATTTACCTAGAAGAAAGTGGGGTTGTCAACCACTATATAACCATTCGTGGGGTGAATGTCTTTTTTATTTTAGGCCTCTGGCTGATGGATCCAAGAGGTAGATACGTGATGTCAAAATATTCTCTTTTATAGGTAATTACAATTTACAATGGAAGATACAGAGGCCACAAGGTAGTAGAGTTGAGTTATATTAACAGAAAACCTTGTTAGAGAAAAGAACCACCTCTCACTATCATGTTCAATGGCAAAGATTAATAGAAGGTACAGCAAAATGGACACACATGCGAGTATACCCACATTGATATTGGAAGTAACTTTTTTCTTATATACTATAAATCATATCCCAGAATATACTCATAATGTGTACACTTATTGGGATATGACAATCAACGTACAAAATATGTACCATATGTACATTGACTGTGATGTACATATGTGTACACAATACAGATGTACAAAAAATGTACATAATCTGTACAATATGTACATTTATATGTACATAATGTGTACACAGTAGGTATGTACATAATGTGTACAATATGTAAATATATTGTAATATTACAATGATTTCATATAATCACAACAGCATATATAATCACAATACACATATAATACATAATATCAATATAAATGTACATATTGCACACATTATATACATTTACATTTATTGTGATATGATATGTACACATGTACATCATGCACACGTGCAGATTTGCGGTATATACACGTGTACATAAGTGTGCACAGTATGTACATATGTACACTACACATATGTTCATATAATGTAGATATGTACCTTCTGTACAGGAGTACACAGTATGTACAATATGTACACGTATATACTAGGTACACATATAGGTGTATACCCACTTTGGTAACCGGAGAGATTTCTGTCTAATATACTAAATATAAAATCCCAGAATGTAGTCATAGTGTGTACATTTATTGTCGTATTGTGATAAATGTATTAAATAGGCACAATCTGTACATGTACTCTGCTGTACATAGGTGTACACAATGCACATGTACAAAAAATGTACATAATCTGTAAAATATGTACCTATATATTTCTATAATGTGTACACAATGCATAGGTACATAATGTGTACACTATGCCCATTCCTTAAAATATCAGTGATAAAATATATATAATCACAGTAAGATATATAATCACACTAATACATATATGTCGTGTAATATCACCAAAAAGTACGTATTGTACACATTAGGTATGTATTAGGTACATATGTATAGTGCACATATTATGAAAATATATATGTATCATGTTAACACCGTATGTACACGTATACAAACATGTGCCTACTATTTAAACAATGTACACATGCAGAAATAGGTGCAAACTACATACCTATGCACAGCAGGCTATTACTACAGTTCTGCTCGTAGCAGCCTCAATGCCCACCCTGGCTGCTTAAAGACCCCCGGCTAGGGGGCTGTACCCACAGCCCCCGCCAGAGGGCCCACGCTGGCTGCTTAGGGACCCCCTGCCTAGGGCGCTGTGCCCACAGCTGCTGGGGCCCGGCTATTTTGAAAATGTGGTGTAATATGATACTGGCAACCATATCACACAGAAATGATAATGTTATTGTGGTTCTTTACATATTAGGAAATAGTTCTAGTTACACATTTGGCATATTGACAAAAATGTCATCCTCACCCCATTGACATTAGAATTGAAAGCATAGGAGGGTTTCACCCCTTGCAATGTTTAATTCAACATAATTGTTTTCTTGTTTACATTAGTGACCATATCAGAGCACGGTGTACATCTCTTGCAGTATTCAGAATATTTCTCTACGGGCAGCAACATTTTTCTCTCCTTATCTGGATATTAGGAAGAATATCACAGGACCGGCTTACAGCGCCAGTCACATCGTGAGCAATGTCATCTGTAATCCCCTAGTTATTAAGAACAATGTAATGGGGGTCTCGTGTGCTTTTGGAGATATTTGGAGTAATATCCTTTTAGTTTCTGGATATTAGAAACAATACTACAGTGGTGGTGTACACTTCCTGCGATATTAAGGGTATACTCATCCTCTGTCCCTGGGATATTAGGAACTACATCGCAGAAGCCTTGCACTTTGCCTATAATATTGGAACAATCACAGAGTGTACACCTTCTTTCATTGTGAGAGAAATACCTACTTAGGATATGATGGATAATATCACAAAATGGACACACATGGCTATATGCCCACTGTGATATTGGAAGTCATTTTTATCTAATATACTAAATGTCATAACCCAGAAAAAACTCATAATGTGTACACTTATTGGGATATTACACTCAATGTACAGAATATTTAACATATGTACATTGACTGTGATGTACATACATGTACACAATACAGATCTACAATAAATGTACATAAACTATCGTTTGTACGAATATATGTACAAAATGTGCACACAATAGGTATGCACATAATGTGTACAATATGTACATTTATTGTAATATCACAATGTTATATAATCACAACTGCATATAAAATCACAATACACATGTAATATGTAATATCAATATAAATGTACATATTGCAAACATGCACATATACATTTATTGTGATATGATATGTAAACATGTACATCATGTACCCATTATGTACAGATGCACAATATATGCAAGCGTACATATGTGGGTACAGTATGTACATATGTACACTACACATGTGTACATATAATGTAGATATGTACCTTCTGTACCCGAGTACATTCTATGCACAATATGTACACATATAAACTATGTACACACCTGGGTGTACAACCACTTTGGTAACCGGAGAAATTTCTATCTAATATACAAAATATAATAATTCAGAATGTAGTAATAGTGTGTACATTTATTGGCATATTGCAATAAATGTATAAAATAGGTACAATCTGTACATTTACCCTGCTGTACCTATGTGTACACAATGCACATGTACAAAAAATGTACATACTCTGTAAAATATGTACCTACATATTTCTATAATGTGTAAACAATGTATAGGTACATAATGTGTACACTATGCACATTCCTTAAAATATCAGTGATAAAATATATATAATCAAAATAACACATATAATCACAGTAATATATATATATCATGTAATATCACAAAAAAGTACATATTGTTCACAGTAGGTACGCATTAGGTCTATATGTATTGTGCACATATGTACATATATATTTATCATAACACCATGTGTACACTTATACAAATATATGTTCATTATTAAAACTATGTACCTGTGCAGAACAGGCTATTACCACAGCCCCCCTCGTAGCAGCCCCAAGGCCCACCCTGGCTGCTTAAAGACCTTCTGGCTAGGGAGCTGTAACCACATTCCCCGCCAGAGGGCCCGTAACAGCTCCCAGGCTGACGCTGGCTGCTTAGGGACCCCCTGGCTAGGGCGCTGTGCCCGGCTATTTTGAAAATGTGGTGTAATATGATGCTGGCGACCATATCATATGGAAATGATGTTATCCTGGTTTTTTATATACTAGGCAATAGTTCTAGTTACACCTCTGCCATATTGACAAAAATATCATCCTCACACCCCTGGACATTAGAATTGAAATCATAAGGGTGTTTCACCCCTTGCAATGTTAAATTCAATAAAATTGTTTTCTTGTTTACATTAGTGACCATATCAGAGCACAGTGTACTCCTCTTGCCGTATTCAGAGGATTTGCCTATGGGCAGCAACATTATTCTCTCGTTCTCTGGATATTAGGAACAATATCACAGGACCGGCGGACAGCCCCAGTCATATCGTGAGTAATGTCATCTGTAATCCCTTAGTTATTAGAGAAACTATCACGGGGGTCTTGTGTGCTTTATCAGATACTTGGAGTAATATCTTTTCCGTTTTTGGATATTAGACACGATACTACAGTGGTGGTGTACACTTCCCGCGATATTCAGGGTATAATAATCTTTTGTCCCCAGGATATTAGGTAGTACATTAAAGAAGCCTTGTGTTTTGCCTGTGATATTGGAACAATCACAGAGTGAACACTTGCTTTCAAAATGAGAGTAATACCTACTTAAAATATGATGGATAATATCAAAAAATGGACACGCATGGGTGTATACCCACTTTGATATAGAAAGAAATTTTTATCTAATATACTAAAAATCATATATCACAATATACTCATAATGTGTACACTTATTGAGATGTTACAATCAATGTGCAGAATACATACCATACATACATAGAGTGTTATGTACATATGTGTACACAATACAGATGTACCAAAAACGTACATAATCTGTACAATATGTGCAATTACAGGTACATAATGTGTACACAATAGGTATGTACGAAATGTGTGCAATATGTACATTTATTGTAATATTACAATGATATATCACAACAGCATATAAAATCACAATACACAAGTAATACATAATATAAATGTACATATTGCACACATCGTGTACATTTACATTTATTGTGGTATCACGGTGTGTACACATGCACATCATGTACCCATTATGTACACATGTACAAAATATGCACATGTACATATGTGTGAACCGTATGTACATTTGCACACTATGTACACATAAATACATATAATGTTGACATGTACATTTTGTACATGAGTACCTAATATGCACAATATGTACACGTATAAACTATGTACACACCTGGGTGTACACCCACTTTGGTCAATGGAGTAATTTCTAATATGGTAAAAATTATATTTTAGAATGTACTCATAATGTGTACATTTATTGGCATATCACAAGAAATGTATAAAATAGGTACAGTCTGTACATTTACTCTGCTGTGCATAGGTGTACACAATACACATGTAGAAAAAGTGTACATAATCTGTAAAATATGTACCTATATATTTCTATATTGTGTACACAATACATAGGTATATAATGTGTACGCTATGCACATTCCTTAAAATAGTGATAAAATATATTTAATCACAATAAGATATATAATCACAGTAATATATATTGTCTAATATTACAAAAAAGTACATATTGTACACATTAGGTATGCATTAGGTACATATGTATTTTGCACCTATTATGTAAATATAAATTTATCGTGATAACACCATATGTACGCATGTACATATATATGCCCAATTTTAAAACTATTTACACATGTAGTAATAGGTGCAAACTATGTACCGATGCACAGCACGCTATTACCAAAGCCCCCCTTATAGCAGCTCCCAGGCCCAGCCTGGCTGCTTAGAGACCCCTGGCAATTGGGCTGTGCCCACAAACACTGCTCGAATGCCTGTAGCAGCCCCCATGCCCACCCTGGCTGCTTAGGGACCCCCTGACTAGGTGTCTGTGCCCACAGCCCATGCCAGAGTGCCCGTAGCAGCCCCCAGGCCAACCATGGCTGCTCAGGGACCCCTGGCTGGGTCGATGTGCTCACAGACCCCACCAAAAAGCCCAGAGCAGCCCCCAGGCCCGCCCTGGCTGCTTAGGGGTCCCCTTGCTTGTGGGCTCTGCCCACAGCTGCTGAGGCACAGCTATTTTGCAAATCAGGTGTAATATGATACTGCCAACCATATTATATAAAACTGATAATCTTATTCTGTTTTTTTTGTATATTAGGCAATAGCTCCAGTTACACCTCTGCCATATTGACAAAAGTGTCATCCTCACCCCCATTGACATTAGAATTAAAATCATAGGGGTGTTTCATTCCTTGCAATGCTTAATTCAATGTAATTGTTTTCTTGCTTACATTAGTGACCATATCAAAGCATGGTGTACACCTCTTGCCGTATTAAGAGTATTTCCCTATGGGCAGCAACATTTTCCTCTCCTTCTCTGGATATTAGGAACAATATTCCAGGACAAGAGTACAGCCCCAGTCACGTCGTGGGTAATGTCATCTGTAATTCTCTAGTTATTAGAAACAATATCACGGGGGGCTTGTGTGCTTTCTGAGATATTTGGAGTAATATCCTTTCCGTTTTTGAACATTAGAAACAATACTACAGTGGTGGTGTACACTTCCTGCGATATTCAGGGTATGGTCATCCTTTGTCCTCAGGATATTATTAACTACATCACAGACGAGTTTTAGTTTGCCTTGATATTGGAGCAATCCGAGAGTGTAAACCTGCTTTCACAATGAGAGAAATACCTACTCAGGATATGATGGATAATATCACAAAATGGACACACATAAGTGTATACCCACTTTGATATTGAAAGTAATTTTTATCTAACATACTAAAAATCATATCCCAGAATATACTTATAATGTGTACTCTTACTGAAATATTACAAACAATGCACAGAATATGTACCATATGTACGTTGACTGTGATGTACATATGTGTGCATCATACAGATGTACAATAAATATACATAATCTGTACAATATGTACCTTTATGTGTACATAATATGTACACAATAGGTATGCCCATAATGTGTACAATATGTACATTTGTAATATCACAATGATATCAGAACAGCATATACAATCACAATACACATGTAATACATAATATAAATGTACGTATTTCACACATTATGTACATTTCCATTTATTGTGGTATGACGATGTGTTTACATGTACAGCATGGACCCATTATGTACGGATGTACAATAAGTTCAGGTGTAGATATATGTACATAGTATGTACATATGTACGCTCTGTACCCATACATACATATAATGTAGATATTTACCTTCTGTACACAAGTACATAATATGCACAGTATGTACGTGTACAAAGTATGTGCACACATAAGTTTACACCCACTTTGGTAACTAGAGCAATTTCTATCTTATTTTCTAAATGTAATATCACAGAATGTACTCATAATGTGTACATTTATTGGCATATCACAATAAATGTATAAAGTAAGATCTGTACATTTACTCTGTGTACCCAATACACAAGTAAATAAAATGTACATAACCTGTAAAATATGTTTCTTTATATTTCTATAATCTGTGCACAATGCATAGTACATAATGTGTATAATATGTACATTTGTAATGTCACAATGATATCATATCACAACAGCATATATAATCACAATAAACGTAATACATAATATAAACGTACATATTGCAAACATTATGTATATTTACATTTATTGTGATATGATGTGTACACATGTACATCATGTACCCATTATGTACAGATGTACAATATATGCATGTGTACATATGTGTGCACAGTATGTACCTATGTATGCTGCGTACACCTATGTATATATAATGTAGACATGTACATTCTGTACATGAGTACATAATATGCACAACATGTACATGTATAAACTATGTGCGCACCTGGGTGTAAACCCACTTTGGTCACCGGTGTAATTCCTGTCTAATATGCTAAAAATTATATCCCAGAATGTACTCATGTGTACATTTATTGACATATCACAATAAATGTATAAAATAGGTATAGTCTGTACATTTACTCTGCTGTACATATGTGTACAAAATACACATGTAGAAAAAATGTACATCATCTGTAAAATATGTACCTATTTATTTCTATAATGTGTACACAATGCATAGGTACATAAAGTGTACTCTATGTACATTTCTAAAAATTTCAGTGGTAACATACATATTATCACAATAAGATATACAATCAATAATATGTAGATATCACATAATATCACCAAAAAGTACATATTGTTTATATTAGGTACGTATAAAGTACATATTTATTGTACACATATTATGTACATATATGTTTATTGTGATAATATTATATGTACATGTGTACAAATATGTGCCCATTATGTAAACAATCTACACATGTAGAAATAGGTGCAAACTGTGTACCTGTGAAGAGCAGGGTATCCCCACACCTCCCGCCAAAGGGCCTATAGCAGCTTCCAGCCCCACCCTGGCTACGTAGGGACCCCCTGCTTAGGTGGCTGTGCCCATAGCCCCTGCCAAAGTGACAGTAGCAGCCGCCAGGCCCTCCCTGGATGCTGAGAGACCCTCTGGCTATGTGGCTGTTACCACAGCCACCACCAGAGGGCCCGAAGCAGCCCCCAGACAAATCACAAAGGGCCCGTAGCAGCTGCAATGCCCAACCTGGTTGCATAGGGACACCCTCGCTTGGCTTCCATGCCCACAGCTGCTGGGGCCCAGATATTTTGAAAATGTGGTGTAATATGATACTGGCAATCATATCATATGTAAATAATAATTTTATCCTTTTTTATTATATAGTAGACAATAGCTGAAGTTACACCTCCGCCATTTTGACAAAAATGTCCTCCTCAACCCCTTGAAATTACAAGGAAAATTATAGGGGGGGTTAACACCTTGCAATATTTAATTCAATATAATTGTTTTCTTGTTTACATTAGTGAAAATATCACAGCACGGTGTACTCCTCTTGCCGTATTCAGAGGATATGCCTATGGGCAGAAACATTCCCCTCTCCTTCTCTGGATATTAGAAACATTATCACAGGACCGGCAAAGAGCCGCAGTCATATCGTGAGTAATGTCATCTGTAATCCCCTAGTTATAAAAAACAACATCAAGGGGGTCTTGTGCACTTTATGAGATACTTAGAGTAATGTTAGGATTTGGGTAATTTACATGAGGGAGAATATTGAGTTGGTGTATACACTCCAAAACACAGTAGAAAAGGGCATTGTATATTTTTTCTGACAGATTATATTGAGAGCAATTTTGCTTTTAACATTGGGGTACCTAGATAATATTTAGATTTCTTTCGATTAGCGTAAATTTAGAATTTCAGTATTTTACACAAGAGAGCATAATGAATTGGTGTATAGACTCCAAAACAGAGTAGAATAGGGCATTGTATATTATTTCTGACAGATCATATTCAGAGCAAATTTGCTTTTAACATTGGGTTGCCTAGATAATATTTAGATATTTTACGATTCGCGTAAATTTAGAATTTCCATATTTTAAATTATAGAGCATATTGAGTTGGTGTATATACTCCAAAACAGAGTAGAAAAGCGCATTTTATATGTTTTCTGACAGATAATATTCAGAGCAATGTTACTGTTAACATTGGGGTGCCTAGATAATATTTAGATTTTTTTCGATTCTCATAAATTTAGAATTTCGGTATTTTACATGAGAGAGCATATTAAGTTGGTGTATATACTCCAAAACAGAGTAGAAAAGTGCATTGTATATTATTTCTGACAGATTATATTCAGAGTAATTTTGCTTTTAACATTGGGGTGCGTAGATAATATTTAGAATTTTTTCGATTTGCGTAAAATCAGAATTTCGGTATTTTACATGAGAGAGCATATTGACTTGGTGTATATACTCCAAAACAAAGTAGAATAGCGCATTGTATATTTTTTATGACAGATTATATTCAGAGAAATTTTTCTTTTAACAATGGTGTGCCTAGATAATATTTAGATTGTTTCGATTCACGTAAAATTAGAATCTCGGTATTCTACATGAGAGAGCATATTGAGTTGGTGTATATAATCCAAAACAGTGCAGAAAAAAGCATTGAATATTTTTTCTGACAGATTATATTCAGAGAAATTTTGCTTATAACATTGGGGTGCCTAGATTGTATTTACATTTTTTTCGATTCTTGTAAATTAGAATTTCGGTATTTTACATGTGAGAGCCTATTGAGTTGGTGTATATACCCCAAAACAGAGTAGAATAGGGCATTGTATATTTTTTTCTGACAGATTATATTCAGAGCAATTTTCTTTTAACATTGCTGTGCCTAGGTAATATTTAGAGTTTGTTCGATTCGCGTGAAATTTGAATTTCAGTATTTTACATGAGAGAGCATATTGAGTTGGTGTATATACTCCAAAACAGAGTGGAATAGAGCATTGTATACTTTTTCTGACAGATTATATTCAGAGAAGTTTAGCTTTTTACATTGGGGTTCTTACATATTATTTAGATTTTTTTCAATTGGCGTAAAATCAGAATTTCAGTATTTTACATGAGAGAACATATTGAGTTGGTGTGTATACTCCAAAACAGAGTAGAATAAGGCATTGTATATTTTTTTGACAGATTATATTTATAGCCATTTTCTTTTAACCTTGGGGTGCCTACATAATATTTAGAATTTCTTCGATTTGCGTAAAATTAGAATTTTGGTGTTTTACATGAGAGAGCATATTTAGTTGGTGTATATACTCCAAAGCAAAGTAGAAAAGGGCATTGTA